TGAAGGGTTTAATTTTCACTCGTGCCTTGACTTTAGACACCAATCAGATAACCTTTTTGTAGTTAGTTCTACTCGCATAAACTCCATTTTGACCTCCCTTCCCTAAACCCCAGTGCTTTGAAAAACTCTGCGCCATCATCCTGAACTATAGGGTGAAGCCTTTTACAGAACATTATCAAGCGTTCGGCAGTTTCCTCCTTCTCTTCACATGCATTGCATACCGTGTCTACCCCTTCGTATTTGACCTGATAAGTCTTGGTTCGCAATACTCCCGTCCTGGCCTCAAACAGCAGGGAACTACCCTGACAATTATTACAGACCGTTTTCTTGGCAATTTCCTGCTTATGAGTTGGATAGATCTCTAGTGCCGACTTCTTAATCATGCCTAATATTCACGTGTCAGTCTCCGTTTCCTTCACCTTCTTCTTAACCGACAGCTCTTTTCGGTTTGGCCACCCGCTGTGTTCTAAGTATTTACCAGTCAATTTCCTGGCTCGCTTCCTCCACTTTGTATCGACATTCTTCATGTACAAGTAGTTGAGTACCTTCCTAGCCCAATGCTCCTCCTCCATTTCTCTCAATCGCTTTTCAAATTTCATCTTGCTGCTAGCTTCCCTGTCCTCAAATAATGTCCATCCCATATCACTCTGTACTCCCTGATTTGGTGTATTCCCGTGAGCTCCTAAAGCAAGCCTAACTATTCCACGTTGCTTAATTTCTAATCTTTCTTGAACTTCTGATCTCATGCACAAGACCGCATTGCCGAACGTCATGACCAGGGACCATGACCCTTTTTATATTCCTCTCACAACATCCATACCTATTGTAATTCCACGGTGCCTTATTTTTCATCACTGCTGCATTCTTGTTACCTTTAGTTTGGTCTGGTTTGCTTTATTCAAGGCAAAATTGAACAAGATTGCCTTGGCGGACACGACTAAAGGCTAAGTAAATGCCTTACTTGGTCGTGCTTCCCTGGCATCAAAGCACAAACATACCGCAAGTACAGTACGCAGAAAATTACAACATCACGTGTTATCTTACACGGGTACCATAGTTGAACAGGAACTGCCAGAAGTGTGAATAAAAGAATAGAAATATAAACAGTCCTTATTCGAGTGGTGGCAAATACAAACAAATGCATGTTTTCTATGAAATAAATTAACAAGAGACATCTTGACTAGGAAATCAAGTTGCTCTACAAGACAAATTAGAGTATAATAAACAACAGCCAAAGAGACAATGATGAACAAGGTGCAACGAATACAAAAACATCATTAACTACAAATTTCAAAAATCAAGAAAAGCATCGCTTTTATCCACTAGAAACTCTTTCGTTATTTTTTTTAAATAATCTAGCTGAAGTTCCGTCTTCCAGTAAATGTAATATAGTTGGGTGTTTGTTTAGAATGTTTGGAATTTGTGACGCCAATCGTTGGTCACCGTAGTTCGTGCGTGATCTATATTTGTATATTAGGCTCTTTCTCAGCTCGTATGGTGTTTGTTTCACATAATATGTGTCCAAGAATAGTGATGTATTTAGTTTATACTGGTGTAATATCTCTAGACATAGCTTATGTCTGTATAACAGTTTTATAGGCAATACTTTGTACATTTTAAAATATGGTCGAGCACTTTCGTAAATGGGGAGTGTTAGATATAGCCCGCTTTTGTAATATCAACAGAGAATTAAGGTTTGTGGTGGTCGTTGTTAGCCACACCAAGGAGCAGTATGTTAGTCGTGAATGTACTAGTGCGTAGTAAATTTGCAGCTTGACATTTGTTGGGACGTAGTATCTCAGTCTATTTAAAATGCGGATTCTCCTGGAAAGATCTTTTTTTATCGCGTCGATGTGAGGAGACCAAGGAAGTTGTTCTTGGAATAGAACTCCTAGATATTTTATTGTTGTTGCGCGCTGAATCTCGGTGCTCTGGAAGCAAATTGGAGTGCATGGTATATGAGCTACTCCTTAAGGCTTGAAAAACATGTACTTCGTTTTAGCAATATTCAATTGAAATTTATTTGCGTTTAACCATAAATTTTGTTTTTCCATCCAAACGTTAGCTTCTCTATATAGTTCACACACGTTTGAACCCGCGAAAAATACATTTGTGTCATCAGCGTACAATATTATTTTCTTGTGTCCCTCGATATTTACGATATCATAATGAACAGCAGGAATATGATAGTCGTTTTGTGTTCCCTTAGATACTCTGAGTACAAAACACGTTTTCCTCTACCGGCAGGAGAATGGAACTACTCCTTCGCCAGAAATGAACATGTGCTCTATGGAATGTTGAAATTGTAAGTGTGATAACGTAAAAATGACAAATAAAAACTACAATAGCTGATAACGTAAAAATGACAAATAAAAACTACAATAGCATTGTTGAAGTTTGCAGTAGCATGCTAGACTTTATTAAAGTAAGATGTATGGTAAAATATTGTTTGAGACAATGACATTTCAGATAAAATGTTTTGTTGCATAAAAAATAGTAGGCAGCGTCTCTTGCGCCGTGCGGCGCAGCAGCCAGCCCCACACAGAAGTGGCTCCAGCGCCGCACGAAAGTGACGTCGCTTCAAAAATTATTACCTAAAGCTAGTTAAATGGGTGAATTATTCATCTGTAATGCGTTAAACCCACAAAAATTTTACTAAGCAGGTGTTTAACAAGTCAATCAGCATAATTTTTTAACTAAACACATATTACAAGTATTTTAATTACAGGGGGCGCCATGACGCTAGCGCATTAGAATACCTACATGGAGTCATAGGAAATACTTTCGGCCAAGCACGCGAGAGGTCGGCTAACTGGACACAGGTGGCAAATAAAAGAGTGGCAGATAAAAATTTAATATCGAATTTTCGGACTGGAAAAAGGCAGAACACAGTGTTCCCAAAAGTACGGCAACAGGACCGGATGGAATCCCGATAGAGATTATCAACCATTTGGACCAACCAGCGGGACAGGCGCACTTGTATGGAGCCATCGAGCGCGCTATAAAATCCAAGAGGATTCCTGCGCACTGGCGCGAAAGTAGAATGAGTTTGATCTACAAAGGCAAGGGAGAAAGGCACAAGGCGAGCTCTTACAGGCCGATTACAGTCACGTCAGTGCTCTATAGATTAGCTATACAAGCCATCAAAGCCGAGTTGTTGAAGTGGGTTGAAAGTAACAGTATTTTAGGGGAACTGCAAAATGGGTTTAGGCCGGGTCGACGCTTGGAAGACAATCTTTTCGTCATAACCCAGACCATCGAAATTTCGGCAGCACAGGGTAGACCAACATGGCTACTGTTTCTGGACATAAAGGGTGCCTATGACAACGTGTACAGGGGATTGCTGTGGCATATACTGGAAGAGGAGGGGATTGGGTCGGAATTTGCAGGGCTGCTAAGGGCAATATATGATGATAACAAGGCACACATTACATGGGAAGGGCGTACATACACAGAGCCCGTGTACATTCGAAGAGGTTTAAAACAGGGGTGCCCTCTTTCGCCATTGCTGTTCACACTGTACATTAGAGGAATGGAAAGACGACTACAGGAGAGTGGATTGGGCTTTGATTTGTCACACCGAAGCAATGGAGTGTTAGTGGAGCAACGGATTCCGGGATTGATGTACACAGACGATATAGTGCTGCTGGCGGATAATGCGGAAGAGCTTCAAAAACTGGCTGACATTTGTGGTGATGAGGCAACGTACCTAGGCCTACATTTTAACCCACAGAAATCTGGAGTCATGGTGTTCAACGAGGAAGCTCATGTAGCACCAATAAGGATACAACAGGAATCCATACCATTAGTAAATAAGTACAAATACTTGGGGATCTGGCTTAATGAAGGAAAAGGCTACCTGAATGCTCATGAAGAACACCTCAAACTGAAAGGGAGACGAAATGCAGCAGTAATGAAACATAGAGCACTTTGGGGACACAATAAGTACGAGGTAGTACGAGGCATCTGGAAAGGGGTAATGGTGCCGGCGCTCACGTTCTCTAACGCCATATTATGATTAAAGTCAGATATCCTGTCGGGGCTGGAGGTTAACCAAAAGGCAGTCGGCAGGTTAGCTCTGGGAGCTCACAGTAAGACTACAAACGAGGCTGTACAAGGCGATATGGGTTGGGCTTCATTTGAGGCGAGGGAAGCACAAAGTAAAATACGGTTTGAGGAGCGACCTAGACATTTAAATGAGAAGAAATGGGCAGCCAGAGTGCACAGATACCTGTACCTGAAAAGTGTGGACACCCAATGGCGGAAGAGGACGCGAAAGCTGGCGACTAAATATAACTTGACCGCGGCAAATAAGCAAAGGGGCCAGTTAAAAAGCAAGTGAGTGAAACAGAGACGCTCATGTGGAAAGAGAGGATGGAAAAGAAGGGATCGCTGGGAATCTACAAGGCAAGCAAACAAGAGATCCGGAAAGAGAACATTTATGACAACAATAAAGGTAGTGCGTTGCTCTTTGAGGCGCGGGCTGGCTGCTTGAGAACTCTAACATACAGGAGCAAATATTCGTCACAGGATGAGACATGTGTAGGATGTGGCATAAATAAAGAAACAATCGACCACATAGTCATGGAATGCCAAAAGATTCAGCCGGATAGAAATGGGGGGAAGGTCACACTTCCTGAGGCGCTGGGCTTCGCGGTTGATGGAAGCATTAACTGGTCAGCAGTAGGTATTACTAAGCAGCGGCTGGAGTATTGGTGGAGGAAAAGCAGAGAAGTCGATAAAATAACATCCCAGCCAAGAGTAGCGGCTGGGCAAAATTAAAAAGACATCCGAGTTGAGGGACAAAATTTAAACTCGAACTATTAAGGTAGGCTAGGTGGCGCATGCCGTCAGCCCGATTCAAAGGGGAGGCCTTTAATCATCATCATCATTATCATCGTAGAGTGTACTAGTAAGGACTTCTACCTCAGCATCTTTCTAGAGGGGGCGGTGACTAACCCATCCATTTTACCAGCCTCTTTCGGTCGAGCCCACCGTGGTCGAGCCAATCCAAATGCAAAAGCACACGTCGAGCCAGATTGGAGCTGGCAGGATGTGTTATTTTGTTCCCACTTGTGTTTCGTTTGCGTCGTGACGGCAAGCGCACCGAGCATACCCACGCATCACCGTCCGCAACAACCCCACGACACGACCGACGAATATGCCAGGTGCTTCCGTTCCGTGGCTGGCTGTGCCGTGCGGTGGGTGATTGCAGTCGGCACCGTTTTTCTGCGTTTTCTCTCGACGCGAAGTGATGAAGGCCGCTTGGACGACTCCCATCTACGCTGCTGCATGATTGACTGACGATCCATCGGTAAGGTCCAGCTGACACGCAATTTCCTGCCTGCGGTTGTGACCGCGCTTCCCGTTTTGCATGGCAAGCCGCGCAGATTGTGCTGTTCAGTTTGCTTTCGCGTGAAGCTTTTCATTGCTAGGAGAGGGCAGAGCCTTTTTTTGACGAGGTGAATCGCTTGTGCTGTTTTTCCACGTTGTGTCGAAACCGCTCGAATCGCGCCTGCTGACCAAAGCGTCCCTTACCGCTGACTTGTGCACAGCTGCAACCTTCGTGAAACGCGAGGACGCGCATAAAACTAGAAAGCCTCACGCATTTGGAAACTTCACATTAAAAAAAAAGTATCACATAATGGTGGTGGTAGTAACTCAAATCCGGTCTGCTAAAGGAAACCGTGCGCGAGGGACGGTGGCTGCTGTGCGGTGCAAACATTCCGACCGAGGCTCGTCAATGCGTGCGACGTTTCGGTTTCGCCCAACGCGCTCTGTGTCGAGAGAGCAACTGGTGGCCGAACTCCGCTGCTGCAAAAGCAGACGACACTGGAGCAGTGCAGTGGTGCTTTCGTTATTCCGCGTCCGCTTATGAGTATCGTAGTTAGGGTGGCGGGCGCGATTTCGGGCTGGTCGGTGTGCCGATCGGGCGCCCAAATTGCTAGGACGCATCGTGGCGGCGAGTTTATTGCCACCGATGTCGTATTTTGCGCCGCTTCGACCTTGAGAGGCGGAAGATGCTCTCTGTGTGACCTTGCGCGCCTGCCCGAACGGAGTGCGCCCGCCCGCGCATCCATGTAGTTGCATGCCTGCCTTCCCGACCGCGTCGCCTTGTGAATGACACGCCGTTGTGGCTGGTGCTTTTGGGTCGTGTCGCCGTACAATATGGGACTTCTTTGTAAAGCACACTCGGCATCGTGCACCTCCTCTTAACTCGCTAGGCACGTTGCGCGCTTCAACGAGCGGGCTTGTATGCCGGCAATACGATCGCCGTTTTTCGTCCTACGAGCTGTCTACGTCGGGAACTTAAGGCGCCCGCTGTGGAACATCGGCGCTGCAAAAGTCGGTTGGCGTATGTATTTGTTTTTAGTACGAAGATTTTGTAGAAGGTAGGTGATATGCAGAACAGAAAGATAGGCATACACACGTGGAGTTTATTTGACGTCGCACGGCGGCATTATATAGTTGCATTAATAATAACGTTGCAAGACGACGCTGTGATACCGGTATGGTCTACAAGTTCTCATCTTCTCACAGCACGTACCGTATGAATCCTTGAGCGCTTATAATGACATTTCGTTTACATCGAAATGCGGTGCCCCAGGAGGTAGTCGAACCCGCGGTCTCGAGTTGCTGCGAGTAACAGAAAGTGCAAACAAAAGGGAAAGCGCGTTTGCTTGATTGAAAACTAAAGCGTTATTATTTATGGGGTAGGGCAGTGAAACCGTGTTCGTGAGATAATAGGGAGCTTTAGAATACCGCAAGCCCTTGCGGTGCGGTCGCTGCCACTGCGCATGCGTCGTACGCGAGCCACCGTTCGCGTTCGTGGCGCGCCCGCAGATAATCCGAAATAGCGGACAGTGTGTGCGGCCCGCAAACGCTGGTGTTGAGGTTTCCGTGCATTGGAGTTTGCGGGGCAACTAAATGCCTAGATTGTTCCCTGGGAGGAGCAAACATTATTCTAAAACTCATATAGTGCTCGCTATGGCTACAATGCCAACAGCGCCTGCAAACGTTATTCTAATACGAAAGACCCCGCTATGACGATTACATCCTGTCAACTTGTACAAATCTTCTTTCACGTTGAACAGCTTATCTATTTTTTAGAAATAATAATAATAATAATAATAATAATAATAATAATAATAATAATAATAATAATAATAATAATAATAATAATAATAATAATAATGTTGTTGGCTTCGTTATCCATGACCACAATCGTTGTGGGTGTCCACACCAGCTGCACGTGCAGCACTCGTAGATTGAAGAATGTGTGGTCGTCTACTTGGACGCATCGTGTCTGCAGTTGAACGGGTCAAACCTGCGCGAATGCTGCCACGGGCTGCTTTCTCGAAAATTTCAGGGTGGCAATAATCCTTTCGTTGGGAGAACTTCAGCTCTCCGATTTGAACCAACCACGTGTCTCGTGTAAGTAAAATCTCCTATTTTACCGTAGTAATTAATGTATGTAACAGTTTTGAGGTCCACAGGAAATAACGAAAAGGGTGATCGCGTTTCCCCTATTTTGGAGATTTTTCGGCCGCAACAGGATGTGACCCTTGGCAATAAAGTTGGTAATGAAGTTGGTAATGAAGCTCGCAGCGAACAAACTGTGGGCTTCGTGTGGATATGGGACACGTGCGTGGCCGACTACACGCGCCGAGTCCGGCGTCAGTAAGAAATCATGCAAATGTCGTCGTGATCGTCCTCTCTCTTGCAGAAGTATGCGTGAGCGTTACAACTACGCGCATACCCTGTGCACCATGAGTGGCGAAAAGTGCTTTTGACAGACACCCCAATTAATACAATGTTTCTTAGTTACATTGTGGCACCACAGGCATGGGCGTCGGTAAGGGGGGGGGGTGCGGAAGGGGCACTGGCTCTCCTCAACCTTCATCGGTGCTCTACTCCTCCCCCAGCCGCGATGTATCACCGGTTTGAACCCTCCAAGACGCGTATTACCACAGGCGTGCAAAAACAAAAAAAAAAGGGGGGGGGGGGTGCGGTACTGTACACATTGTAACCTCCCCGTAGGCGTAGTCTTTTTTTTGTGTGTGTGTGTGAGCGTCAATGACGAGGAAATAGCGCTCTCGTCTCGGCGCGTGGTCCCTCAAGTAGTATTGTGTTGTCGCTCGTTATCTTCAGCGGCACGAATCGCCCAGAAGAAGGCGTGAATCGCTGCGAAGGAAATACGCCTTTCGTACAACCAGCGGCCGATGGCAGGCTCTGCTCTGGGCAAGTGATGCAATCGGGGTTCAGACTTGATTGATTGAACGTTCATTATCATTTCTCACATGAGGTTTACAGACACTGATTGGACCCATAGCCTGAGGCTAGTGTAGGGTCCAATGAGAAAAGTAATGGACAGAAGCGGGAAATATCAATTACACATAATATATATGTAGCTATATAGACACTGTAAATATACACATATACAGAGTAGAGAAGTCTTTCTCTTCTTAAACAATCTGGTCACACCAAACAAAACTGCATGTGCGCATACAACAAGTTATGACAGAATAACTTCGTGGACACACCCAAAAACATCAGTTAATATACATAAAGAACATCAAACCATCACAAGTTTTAGTTAGAAGGAAAAAAAATGCTAGGTTTACAAGATTCACCAGCGTATATTTATACAAATGAAGTGCTTACCACCAAAGAGAAAAAGAAGTATTTACAGCTTGCTCAAGAATTGATTTCTTTAGTTTTACCGCAGCATTGTGTGATGTCTTCAATTCAGTGGGCAAACTATTCCAGATCTTTATCCCTGTGAATTGCATTAATCTCTCACCATAAACGCTATTTCTTGGCGCCAAGTTAAGGTTACCGAACGTCAGGCTTCTAGTAGGGCGGGAAGAGGAAAAAAATAACGAGACATCAAATGAGCTATTGTATTTTACGATACTGTTAACACAAACGGTCATCTTATAGTCACGCAAAAGATCGAAGGGTAGTATTTTTAGCGATCGGAATAACGGCCGGCTTGGCTCGTTGTACTTACTGTGAGTTCTTATGGCACGCTTTTGTAGCCTTCGAAGTGGATCCAGATAATCATAAGTCCAAGCCCACGATTCCATGCAGTAGATTAAATGACTATTGATGAAAGCAAAGTAAAGCGCCCGCAAAATGCTTTTATCAAAGTAGCCTCTAGCTTGTAAAAGCGCGTGGCAGCCGGAAGCCAGCTTCACACCGACGGCATTTATTTGACCTGCCCAGTGAAAGTGATTATCTAGTATAATCCCGAGGTATTTAAACGTGTCCGTACGTTCCAATATGCAGTTGTCAATTTTTATCTGAATATCTTCGTAACTAATGAATTTCCTACGGGAATGACATATAATGTACTTCGTTTCTTTAGCATTAACCGTTAACCTGTTAGCAAAAAACCACTAGGAATTTTTTTTCAATTCTGCGTTTACTTGTCTTTGTAATTCAAGAACATTGTCGGCCGTACATATTAATGCTGTATCATCGGCATACATAATAATTTCGGAAGAGCTTAATACATGAGGCAAGTCATTGATATAAAGGGAGAAGAACAGCGGCCCGAGAACCGATCCCTGTGGCACCCCTGTGTTCAGATATTGCAGTGTGGAAGTAATATCGGTCATCACGACAGCCTTCTGTCTGTTTTTGATGTAATTAGAAAATAACTCATAGGCTTGATTACGTATGCCGTAGTGCTTTAATTTATGCAAAAGAATTGAATTATCTACCGTATTGAATGCTTTTTGTAAGTCAAGAAAAACAACTCCCGCTAGCTTGTTGTTGTTTAGGGCCGTGTTAATCGATTGTGCTAATGTCAACACTGTGGATGACGTAGAATAATTAGACTGGAATCCATGTTGCTGAGGACAAAGAACCATGTATTTCTGTAAAAACTTATTTATGCGGTTTGATAGACTTTTTTCAAAAATGTTATTTACAACGCTAAGAACCTATATTGGTCTGTAGCTAGACGGATCGGAAATGTCACCGTTTTTGTAAACTGGAATTACTTTTGCAATTTTTAGTATGGATGGATAAGTTTCGTTTTGTATAGAATGATTAAATAAATTGCATAAGATTTGGCCTAAAATATCCACGTTTTATTTTAACAATCGCGCGGTAATTTGGTCTAGCCCAGCAGATTTGTTAGTTGAAAGGTTTTTAATAATATGAAAAACTTCGAAAAGTTCAATATCATACATCACAGACGTATTGACAACTGGGTTTGACGCAATGTAACTGTCTGCAGAGCGGGGAATTTTGTCTGCCAGAGCTTTGCCTATACCAGAAAAGAAGGTGTTGAACGCTTCGATG